AGAAATATGTAATCTATCAAGGTGAACCAGGAAAAACTAGAAAGTTGAATAGACCAATAATGAGTGAGAATATTGAATCAGTATTCAAAACCTCCCAACACAGAAAATCCCAGGACTGGACAGCTTTAGTGGTGAATTTTAACAAACTTTTAAAAAATAAACATCACTTCTTCTCTAACTCTCTCACAAACTCATTCTATAAAACTAGTATTAACCAGATGTCTAAGTGAGATAATGATACCACAGTAAAAGAATATTATCCTTGATGAACACTGATGCAAAAATTCTCAAAAAAAATTTATAAACGAATTCAAGAACTTATTAAATGGATTGCATGTTCAAGAACGAGCTAGATTTATCCCTGGGATTCAGATATGGTTAACATATACAAGCCATTAAACATGATACACCACAGTAGTAGAATAAAAGCTAAAAATTATGTGGTCATTTGAATAGATGCAGAAAAGCATTTGACAAATTATATCTTTTTATGGATAAAAAAATTTAAGAGTTTGGGTACAGAAGGAATATATCTAAACATAATAAAAGTCATATACAACAAAGTCATAGTCAATAATATACTCAATGAAGAAAAACTGTCTTTAAGATTTTGAACAAAACAAGGGTATTCATTGCCACTACTCTTAATCAACATAGTACTGGAAGACCTAGCTAGAATAATCAGGCAAGGAAATAAAGGCATCCAAATTGGGAATGACAAGGTAAAATTGTCATTATTTGCAGATGATATGTTCTACTGTACTGAAAGTAACAAAAGCACAACTAAAAAACTGTTGGAGCTTGTCAATAAATTCAGTAAAGTTTCAGAATATAAAGTCAATACACAGGAATAATTTAAATTTCTATACACTAATGATGAAACAACCAAAAGAAATAAAGGTAACTATCCCATTTATAATATGATCAAATACAAAAGTATATAGGAAAAATTTAATCAAGGAATTATAACTTCTATACAATGAAAATACAAAATTTGTTGAGAAACCAAAGACACCAACTATTGGAAGGACATCCTGTGTTCATAGATTGAAAATGTTGATATTTTAAAAGCCCTTCCTACTAACACCATTTATAGTTTTCATGCAATTTCTCTCAAAATTCCAAGGGCATTTCTTACAGAAAAAGAAAAAAGTCCTAACTAACATTTTTGTAGAATCATTAAAAAACCTAATAGCCATAACAACCATGAAGAAAAACAAAAGCAGAGGCATGATTCCTGCTATAAAAATTATACTAATAATTTAATAATTTAAAAAAACTTATAATAATTTAAATAGTATGGCCCAGGCATACTAGGTACATAGACCAGTGGAATATAATAGAATACAAAGTTAAATGTTTGCAAATAAGTTCAACTAATATTTGTTAAGGAAGCCAAGAAAATCCAATGATGGGGAGGGGAATGACAGTCTCTTTAACAAATGCTATTGAGAAAGCTGGATAATGACACGCAGAAAAATGAAGCTGGATTTTGATGTGACACTTCTAAAAAAAATTAACTTGCAATGGATGAAATACTTAAATACAAGGTCTGATAGAAAACATAAGGGAGAAGCTTCATCTTGATCTTGACAATGATTATTTGGATATGACATGAAAAACACAAACAACAAAAGAAAAAAATTAACAAGGAGGACTACATCTAATGAAAAAACGTATGCACTGAAAAAAGAAATAATTAACAAAACAAAAAAGATGACCCACAGAATGAGAGTCTATTTGCAAACCATGTAGATAAAGGGTTAATATCCAAAATCTTATATAGAACTTACACAGCTCATTTACACAAAGAAATCAATCTAACATAAAAAGATGGATAGAGGAACTGAATATGCATTTTTCCTATGACATACAAATGGCAAACAGGTACATGAAAAGGTTCTTGACATCATGATCATTAGGAAAAAGACAATCAAAACCACATTATAGGCCATAACATGTATAGTGCCTATCTTACAGAATACCTAATTTCCAGGAATTAAAGACAAACCCTTTTAAAGTTAATGTAAAGGTCTAGCAAATACCAAATTCCTGATCCCATGAGAATATATCTGATAAATGTTAGGCAGAGAAAATTCTGTGTCACTGGCCATCATAATGTACACCATTACCTGACTGAGATATGAAATGCCCTGTCAAAAGGTAAAGATCAGGTAACTCCCTAGGTTGTTAAGAAAACATTTTTATTCTGTCCCAGTTCTCCAGATCTGTGATTCCTGAGGGAATGGGAGTGAAAGTTTGAATTTTACATGTCTTCCTCTCCCACCCACTACCTTCATCTTACCAATGGAAGCCAGAAAAAAATGTTGTGCCCATGAAGTTTAGATTTGCAGCCAGTAACAACAGAACACAAATTTTTTTATAAAACTGGTTTTGAAAATTAATTGAAAAGGCAAATAGGAAAAGGGTTACTAGCTTTTCTTACTTTGGCAACTTTTTGATTCACTTAAAATTATTTCTAAAACAAAAGTTTAAGAAATTAACTGTACTGAGAGCTGATCTTACCCTTTGTGTGGGTTATTATTCTGGTCAAAGCCTAATAGGGTGGAACAAAGACGTCTCACCTTGTTTCTCCCTCTCAGTTCAGTGCACTTTGAGGTCCCTGGGGCTGCTGTCAGCTCTGGAGTCAGAGCATTGGGAACAGAAGAAGGTCTGTTGCCTTCTTTTTGTGGCTTTGTTTTTGGCTTAATAATTGGCACTGTAGTAGAGCAGAGGTAGTGGGTTGGTGGTGGAAGGAGTGGTGAGGTCCTTACCTAGCAGTGGTGGGGACATAGGAGCTGGGAACTGGAGGAGGGATTGGAGATAAGTGGCGAATTCTGAGCAGTCCAACAGAAGTGAACTGGAGAGTGTGTGTGTGTGTGTGCCTGCATGTGAGCAAGCATTGTGTAAGAAACAGACAATGGACAAAGATGAGGGTCCCCTGGTAGACCATTTTCACTTAGATTCAGATAGTGAGGGAATTTCTAATGTGGTGTGTGCACGTTCAAACCTTTGGGCCTGCAGGGACCTGCTCACTTTATTGATCGTGATCCACAGGGCAGATCTGTCCTGAAAACAAGGCACACATTTGTGTGGGTTTAATACTGCTTCCCCTCCCATTGTACAGATGAGGGCACTGAGGCTTGAAGAGGCTCAGTAGCTGCTGGAAACTGCCATCTGGCTCATGTCTTCCATTTTCTTACCTTCACACTCAAGTCTCTCAAGCAGAAGATAAAGGCAGACCATTGTACTAAATGTGCTGAACACTAAATTGCCATGAATAGTTTTGTGGATGATGGGGCCCAAAACCCTGAATCCTTAGAAAGTGCCAAGGTAGGGCCCTCCCTGGTGGCGCAACAGGTTAAAGCACAGCACTTAGAAGTTGTCTGCCGCCTTCTCAGCAAGAGTTCAATCCCCAGAGAGGTGACCCACATGGTTTGGCAGACCTCTCTTGTCTTGCCTGCTGCTCCCCTCAGCAGTGTATTTTGTTAATTTGCCTGTTCTGCTCCCCACTGTCTCTGGTTAATCTTCTCACAGCCCCTGCAGCTCTGGCCTGTACCCCAATTTGGTATGCATAAATAAATAAATCTTGAAAAAAAAAAAAGTGCCAAGGTGATGGTCCAGACAGCTGTTGCCTGGCTGGTCTCTCGTTTTCCTAAGATAGGAAAAGACAAGTTTTCCTGCTTCCCTTTGTTCCTGAAGGACAGGCGAATGTGAGGCCATTAGATTATGCCTAGTGACCTTTCAGAATGCCATCTGTACTTTTTATTCCAATAGGGCAAACACTCACAGTTGTCTTGGAAGTGTCTAAGGTCAGCATGATTCAGACTCCAGGAACTTCATGTAAGCTGAGGTCCCCAGGGGACTTGTGCACGCTTCTCCTGGCCTGAGGTGAGGATGGGGTTGCTTTTCTCCTTAAAGAAAAGTGCACCGCAATTTGAAGCCAGCAGCATCGTCTTCCAATCTCTTTACTGATATTCCTAACTGTTCTTCTCCTCCTGTGGAACTGTGTTGTGTCAATTTGACAATTAGTTTCATATAACATATGTATTTTATCAGACTAATCACTTATCTCACCTTGCTGTGTACATTATCTGTGACTAGTTATACTAGTTATCTGTGTGCATTGAAATTGAATTTACTTTCAATGTCTTGCCTCCCAATTAAATGAAGTGTCCCTCAAGGGCAAGGGAGGCAGCTGATCCTTCTCTGGTTCCTCAAAGGCCATGGTAGAACCATGGACAAACGACTGCCTGTCCATTGCAAATCTTTTATATTCGGTTTTGCTATGGGAACACATGCTTTACATAACTTGGCTTAAATGTATTATTTCACTTAAAAAAGTTTGGGGGGAAGGCAGATGAGGGTTATTTTGGTGGCTTCACAGTCAGGTGGCCTAGGTTTCTTCCAGCTCAACACCACCCTACCTCTGGGTAGGGCTGAGACATCCTCAGGGCTCAACTCTGAGCCAAAGCCAGAGTTGTAGTAGAGCCATCACAACTGCTTTCCAGGGAGCAGGAGGAAGGGTCTACTGATGCAAATTCCCACAAGTTCAGCTTTTCCACTTTTACTTTATTTACCAGGACTTAGTCATATATCAAATGTAGCTATACTATACACCAAGCTGGAAAGTTAAGTCTTTTAGGTGGATACTTTGTCTCACTAAACATCAAATTTTAGTATCTAGATGAGGGGAGAGGTGTTAGGAGTAAATGATGCTATTGGCCATCGGTGTTCTCTTCCTTCCCCAGTGTTCCCATTTAGAGACTTGGTGTGGGGTGTGTGGACTGGGAAAAATACCCCAAGGGATTCAGTGTGCACAGGGCTATGAACCCCAGCTCTTACAAGCTGCGTGTACTCCAGTGCCTGGAGCAGGTGTTCATCCCTGGACCTCACAGTAGATTCCTTTTTATACTAAGCTTCCTGCCTTTAACCTTCTTCTTCTTTCTTCAAAACTTAGTCTAACACATCAAGCAAGGGAAAAGAAGCAATATTCGTATTATAGTTTTATTTGTCAGATTTCCAGAACCAGGTTCTCTACCAGGTAAGTAGAAAAATAGAAAAGTTTACTACTTTGAAAAGGCAACTATGACAAACAAATATAAGCTCAGAAACAGGCTCTTCAAACTTGAGCAGAGGTCTGCCTGGGCAGGGTGGTTTGCAACAACAGAAAGGAACTTATGTTCTCACATTTTGAGATCTGTGTATTCCTACAGAGCTGGGACTGAAGGAAAGGCCTTTCCTGACCCTCTAGCTGGCCCAGTCCTGAAACCGGAAGCAGTCACTTGCTATCTTCCACACTGTGTTGCTAGGAGAGGCTTGGGCAGTTAAGATGAAGTTCTGATTGAAGTCCCGTTGTTTGTTACCTTCAAATTTCACTGTTCCACAGATTACAACCAGGACTGTGGTCTGGCTTGGAGTAGCTTCATCATGAACAGGCTGGCAGTCTACCACATTGATTTGGAACTCACTGGAAGGCAACAATTCAAAGAACTCACTCAAGGACTCTTGTCCTGAAACAGCATTTCCGTTCCATACCAAGGTGGCTGTGCCCATGTACAGGCGGGATAGGAGACGCCGCCGCTTATCCATGGTAGTGTAGTAGACATTGACAAACTCCTCAGCAGCTCTGCAGGCCTGATCCACGTAGGTCTTGAAATCCACTGATGCCATCTCCGGCTATGCTGAAGGAGGCCTCTGCCCAGGGTTTCCTGCACCTGAGGAAGCAGGAGCTGTAGGTTGGAAAGGTTAAAGAATCATGTGAATGCCGAAGTTTGTTTTGCATTCCACCTAATCTTCTAAGCTTCAGTTTGCTCATTTCAAATGGAAATATCACCACTTGTGTCATGATGTAAAAATGATGATGTACAAAATCTTAATTAAAACCCTGACATCTACGTATTCAGAAAATGGTAATTGTTTCTACAATTATTATGTAACTTATATTGATCATATGTATATTGTATAACCTAATTTTATTATATGTAGTACATCTGTCTATGGAAGAACTTTTTCCTGGCATCCTGGAACAGGTTCGTCTGCTCTAGATAAGTGGAGAAAGTTTCATCCTGGGTAAAGACAGTGACCCAATAAAGACCAAGCAGACAGCACAGGTCACCAACTGGTAAGCAACTGGGGAAGTCTATTGTGAGCTCACCCAACAAGGAGTGGGAGGGCAAGAGGCTCAACCATACAAGGACAGGACCAAACGGGGGCAACAATCTTCACAAGTTATAGGAAGCAACTTGGTAGCTGACTGGGCTCAGAAGAGAGGTGCCTAAGCTTTGAAGGAGGCTCTGAATTGGGGGTTGGGAAGGTATCAGCAAAAATAAATAAAAATCTCAATGCAGCTGAAATGTTACATTTCCTTCAACACAAAGTCCAAAAGCATGAAGATACATTATTTTCTTTGTGCAGGGTACAGCTGTTAAAGCCAACTGAGGACATTACTAACATCAGTAGATAGGCTTAGATTTATGAGCAAATACTGAATCTTTTTTTTTTTTTTTAAAGATTTACTTATTTATACGGAACGGGGTACAGGCCAGAGATGTGGAGGGTGAGAGGATTCACCAGAGACAGAGTGGGGAGCAGAACAGGCAGATCGATGAAGTACACTGCTGAGGGGAGCAGAGGGCGGGTCAGGAGAGGCAGGTCAGGAGAGGTCTGCTGCACCATGTGGATCTCCTCTGGGGCCAGGGCCGGGGCAGGGGGGATCGAACTCATGTAGAAGTGGCCTTAAGCTTCTTAGTGCAGTGCTTTAACCTGCTGTGCCACCAGGGAGGGCCTGAATTGCTTTTTTAATTCAAAGACCAGTGACTTTTTAATTCATGTTAAAGAGCTTGGAGGGGGTGTGGTCCTCAAGAGGAGCTGTTAACAGTGTCAGGCTCTGGAGCTGGTCCTTCCACTCTCATGGGCAGTAGTCAGGCCTCAACACACACCCAATGAGCTGGTATTTGCTAGGTGCTTTGCACACATCACCTCATTCAACAGCTCCAGGAACTGAGAGAGGAGCGCTTTAACAATTTCACAAAGGAGAAAAGAGAAACTGAGGGCTGGTTCAAAGTCACACTAGAATGTATAAACCCATGTCCCCATTTACCAGGATGACAGTGTGGTCAAGGCTATGCAGTCATCTTTCTGGCTCTGTTCTAAGTTCTGCACTCTGGAAACCAAGTCTACTACTAGTAAGAGCTAGGACCCACAATGGGGCCCCGCATTTCTGGCTGGCCGCAATTCCTGCTCAACACACACACACGGGGCTCCTCCCTGAAGCTGCTCCTTCCTCACCGACTAATAGACACCTCGGGTACGCCCTCCCCTCACCCGGCTCCCTGCTGCGTGGCTCAGCCAGCCTGAGCTGGCTGCGTGGCTCTCCAGCTGCCCCCAGGCCCACGGAGACCCCTGGAGCTCTTGAAGAGCTACCTTCGGAGTTAAGGGGCCGCCATGCTCTAGCAAATCAGCGAAAGAAAATACTGAGGTGGGTTAAAGAAGTGGAGCAAGTATGACGTGGGGCGGAGAACAGCTTTCGCGCTCAGGTCTACACAGTGAAGTTCGTCCGACCCACGGAAGGTGCACTAGGCCGCTAGGCGGTGGCGAGTGGCAGCCAGCCACACAGAAACGCGGACGCCCGCCGACCCCTCCAAAGGCATGGACTCTTCTCACAGCGAGTCGAATTTACCGATAAGCCTTTTCCACTGTTCACAGTCTCACGCGGAGCTGCAACGCTGCCACGTGGGAGAGGACAAAACCAGGTGATCCCTGAGGCAGGTGGGGGGGTGCGTGGCAGTGGCAGGTGGGAGATGCCTCGCGAGTCCGAGGTTCCAGCGATCTTCAGGCTGCCCGGCGGGGCGGTCACCTACCTGCAGGCGAGGTGGTGTCCCCTCCTCAGCAGGCGGGGCCTCGGGCAGCGAGGGGGTTTCCAGTCGGCGCGGGCGACCTCGGTCAGCGGGGCGACGTCCCCGGGTCAGGTGAAAGCGGTGGGGATAACCCCGGTTAGCGGGGGCGTGGACGACCTCAGTCAGCCGGGCGGCGCGACGGATCAGCGCGAGCGTCCCTGGTCGGCTGGGGCGGCCTCCCAGGTCAGCGCCGGCGGAGACCGGCCCCAGCCCGGCGCCCCCAGCGCGGGTCGCAGCTCTACAGTGGGCCGGCCCCTGAAGGTCGTGGGGCGGCCCTGGCTGAAACGCTGTGTTCACCTGCCGCTCGACCCCGGATGTGCGGGGAAGAGCGCCCTTCTTTCCGCCTCTTTCTCCCGGTAGGCCCCGCCCGGGTCGCCCGGGCCCCAGAGACGCGGCACTTCACCGTGCCTCCGGTGGGTTCCCGCGCGCGGCCGCAGGACTGGGCGCAGACTCAAGCTCCTTCGGCCCCGCCCATTCCAACTCCCCTTGACGGGCAATTGTACCAGCCAGTGGGATAGGGAGTTGGTAGGGTAGCCCCGCCCCAGTGTGGCTCAAAAGAAGCGTCAACTTCCGGGAGAGGCCGTTTCCCAGAAGACCACGCAAATCCTTACTCGAGTTTTCATTGGTTTAATCGTGTCACAAACTCCGGCCCAGCTGGTTAGGTGGTATCCCTGATTGGATGAAATTTTCAAGATCCCGCCACTGGGAGTGTGGGTGGGTCGTTTCTCTTCCTGGCCGCGTGGAGGCTACTTAGCTGTAGAGGACGGGAAAAGCTTGAGCACCTCAGTTAGGTTGTTTCTCACTTTACCATTTGTCCGCTGGTGGGAGTGATTCCAATTAAAAGCCTGGTGAGACTTCGCGACTTGATACAGTCACAAAAAAGGAGGTGGTGGTGCTGACTTAACCATGGCTTTCATCCAACAAGGCTGGTGGACTCCGAATGCCTCGCAGTCACATCGGGGCATGTTAACACCACTGGTGGGTGAAACTGGCAGAGCGTCTAACTCTACATCCTCCCTCACCCCTATTAACTGATGACTCTCCTTTGTAGTGTAAGTCTCTTAGAATTGGCGTCCCAAAGAACAAATAAAGGGAAGCCAATTTTAGTTAAGCAATTTTAGTTAAACACAACTGAAAGTGAGGACGTGGGCTTGAAGGCGTCGATATGGGAAGTGACAGAAATGCGTCCAGATGGAAACGATAGCGGTTAAGATTCCTGTGTGCTGTGAATTGACAGACTCTTACGGAAGCCTGATTTAGAACGTGCCGTATAGTACTGAAACTAACTGCATTTCAGCTCATCTGAAACCTGAGCAGTTTTTGTTGGTGCTGGGGAAGTGGGGTCCCTCTGAGAATGAATTCGTCAGTCACTTTTTGCACACATGGCAAGATTGTTAAGTAAAAAGAGATGACACAGGTGGGTAAAAAGTTATATTTTGCCAGACCAAGAGGTACCATTGTATATTACTCTTGAAATTTATTGCTTTGGGTTTGTTTTGGGCTGTCTTCCTGTAACAAATGATAACCATTTCTGTCCGCCCTCCACACTCCCCCTCACCCCCCAGTTTTTCACCTAAAAACTTTTATCCCAAGTTTTCTCCTCTAAACTCCTATCATTTTCATTGAATTTTTTTTTTAAATGCTCTTCAGAATGGAAACTGGGACTTGGGAAACTAAAATGTAAGTAAAATAAAATGGCTCCTTCAGACACAAGATTCTCAGTTTGTCTGAGAGATGGAATGATTCTTTCAAAACTGTGGGGCACCTTTGGGGATGTGAAGTTTGTTGATGGTGCTGTCTTCTCAGGTATGTGTACATGGAACTTCTGCCATCTTGGTTGACCTTTGGTTACATTCCTAAAGTAATCCATACTCTCAGAAAGGTGGGCATGGGTATCCCTGGTTGGTCAGATTTCAGGACAAATTTAGAGTTTGGATGGGCTCCCACTTAGGTGGGTCAAAAATTTGGATTATGAAAGTTGGAGGCTGAGTATGGAGAGTGAACTAGCATCTGTGGAACAGTACTCACTAAAATGTCTGTGAAACCAAGACTGAAATTAGGACTTAATATGTAAAATTCTAAATCGCAGCATCAGTGTATTGAAAATGAGAGTTCACCTGTTGCTTGTCTGCTGGATTGGATGTCGTGCTGTTTTATGTTTTCTCATATATAAACCCTTTTTATTTCATTCTTGTAACTTTGGGGTTGAGGAAGATACTGGTATTAGTTTATAGAAGGAAGTTGGGAGACAAATAAGCAGCCTGGAGTCACAGAAATGCTTCAAACCTAGCAAAGCTGGGTAGAAGAACATTATCCCAGCCCCTAGATTTTGTGACAACACAGTTTAACCCTGCGAGGCTGCAGAATCAGTAGCTATAGAGCTATAGAGGAGGGTGGGAAGGGACGTTTTAGGTGTGTGTCTCCAGTGTTAAAGATTGGGCCTGACCCACAGGAAAGATGTAATAATATTTGAGTGAAAGGTTCAGGTAATTGCTCCACAGCATTCTGTTGTTGATGAGTGCGCTCTAATAGTCACTCTTTTACTCTTGCAAGCAATACTGACTTTTATTTTCCTCTCCTTGTACTCTTAAGTTTGGGAGATTAAGGGTCCTCCCTGGTGCACGGGGTTAAAGTGTACCACTATGAATATATCAGCAGCCACTACACCAGGAGTTCCATTCCCTGTCAGTCTTGTCTGCATAAATAAATAATTCTTTAAAAAAAATGTTTGGGAGATTAAGTGTCATCAGGGGCATATCATACCCTAGAACAGTTTAAGGATGATGGTAAATTCAGTTAGGACAATTGAACCTAAAGGATCTTTTGAAAAATGCCTTTTCTTCTCTTTCTGGAAGTGTATGAATAGTACAACTGCAGCCATTTTGCCACATGGAGGGTTGTGGGGTGCGGGGGGCTTAGACATTGAGACAGACAAGAGAGATGGAGAGAAATTAGACCTTTGATGACTATGTTGGGAACCAGATCAGCCCTAAAGTTGGACTGTCCCATTTTGAAGAGCCGGTAAGTTCCCCTCATTTATTATACTATTCAAAGTTGAGTTAACTAGTTAGCTTAGTACATTAGCAGAGTGACTTAACCCTACTGAGTCTCAACTGCCTCATCTATATAAGGGAGATAGAATAATTGCTTTCTCCGATAGATGTGAGAAGTGAATGAAGCAATATGTGGTAAGTGGTTAACACAGAAATGAGCACAAAATAAACATTCAGAAAATATTAGTATGCTTTGACATTTGCATTAACAGCAACTTCCTTATTTGCCAGCAATCCTTCCAACAACTGACTTTTAAATTTGGGACAGGCATGCTTACAAATTGGTGGGATTTGTCTCAAAATCACATGGGTATCTTCTGGAAGATGAGCCTGGCTTAAGCAGCTGTGGAACAGTGGCCCCATGTGCTGCATGGAATCCATCCAGGGAGGAAAAGCGCATCTGGTCAAATGTGCTGAGCCTCTGGCAGCTCTAAAGGCAGGCCTGACTTAGGGATCTTTAAGTCTGTAAATACAGGCATGAGCTTTCTCCCATTGTCATAGTTCTATGTTGCCAGGTCTAACAGTGTTTGTTTGCCATGGGAGGTTATGTGACTTGGAGCCAAACCATGTATGGGATGGTTGGGTGGTTGTACCTCTCGTGCATTGCCACAAAAACCACATATGTATTGCTTTCCCTCCCCATCTTAAAAGAGTCATTCAAGTTTGGGATCAAGTGATTCTGGGAGGTAACTTGAGAACTGGACTTTTGGGGAGATTCTGGGAAGGCAGAAGGGTTGAGGTCCATAAGCCTCGGAGCTCAAGTATGGCTGTGAGCTGAAAGAAACAATAAGGCAGTGGTAAAAAGCTCTGTGAATCTGCAGCCACCGCAGTACAATTCAATCTCCAGCCAGGGAGGTGACCCACATAGCACAGCAGGCTTCTTCTGTCCCGCCGGCTTCTCAGCAGTGTGACCAGAAAGAAGAAAGGAGTGGGGAGCTTGAATAAGACACACACACACACATAGTCACTCACAATCAGGAGTGGCAGGTTATATTTTCCAGAAGTGACTTGACAAATACTTCTCTTCCACATGGACCTCCAGAAATCAGTCCTATGTGCTCCTTAAAAACTTGTCTTGGCCCTCCCTGGTGGCGCAGCAGGTTAAAGCACAGCACTAAGAAGCTAAAGCCACTTCCCCATGAGTTCGATCCCTGCCTGCCCTGGAGGTGACCAGCCATGGCAGACCTCTCCTGACCACTTGCTGCTCTCTTCAGCAGTGTACTTAGTAAGTCTGCCTGTTCAGCTCCCCTCTCTGTCTTTGCCTGTTCAGCTCCCCTCTCTGTCTCTGGTGAATCCTCTCACTGCCCCTGCACCTCTGGCCTGTACACCAGCTCTGTATGCACACATAAATAAATCTTAGGAAAAAAAAAAAACAAACTTGCCTTGCAACTTTGTCAGCATTGACTCAGGCAGACCCACATGACCATGTGAGACAACGCTGGACTATCAGAGTATAGACATAGTATACTACATAGTTCTACTATACAGCCTTTGCTGAAATACAGCTTCTGTCAGGCCCTTTGGCACCATGACCTTGGGGCTCAGCCACCATGTGGTGAGTAGCCCAGGCCACATGGACAGACCTTCATGGAGAGGAACAGCCAGCCAAAAGTCTTATGAGGGAGGGTACCTTAGAAATAGACCCTCCAGTCCTGGGTGAGGTTGTCCTGTCTAGCGTGACTTAGAGCAACGGTGACCCTTCCCTGCCAAGCCCTGGCCAAATTGTAGATTCATGAGCAAGATAATTGGTGCCCAGTTAAGTACCTGCTTAAACTGAAGAATGCTTCACCAGCCTCATCCCAAAGGCTGCAGGAGAGTACTTCAAGCCAGCAATGCCTCACTTTTAAATTTATTTCTGTATAAATGTGGTTGGCCAATTGCTAATAAAGGAACCTTGAGGGCTGGCTCCAGGAGGCCTACCAAGGTGTTGCCCCTCAAAGCACTTTCCAAAGTCCTTAGACATGCTCTCTACTGACCTTTGAAAATGAGTTTCAAGACCACACTTCCAAGATGTGTTGTTTTACACCTCTATAGCATGACCAGCTTCCCAGGGAGTAGGACCTTCCTTTGCAGGAGGAATGTTCTGTGTGAGCAGGTGAGACGGGGAGGGCAGCAGCATGAGCTGCTGTGAGTCTAGGTCTGAACAAGGATGAGACGGGTGGAGTGGCCCTAGTGCCGACAACAGAGAGCTGGCAAGACCAGAAGACGAGTGTTCCCAGGGAGAAAATGTCATAGAGGGACCAGGTGCTGATTCTAGTGCCTAGAGCTCCTCCCCACCAGCACTGCCTGTGTTCCAAGCAGCGTCTTCCTGACTTCTAGGTTTTACTGCCGAGTGATAGAAACAGTTTGGAATAGACATCTCACTTCCTCTTCATGTGCATCCTCAGATCCTAAGGCCAT